AAAAAAAAAAAAAAAAAAAAAAAAAAAAAAAAAAAAAAAAAAAACTATGTTGGGCGATGACTTTGACAGGGCATTTGCTAAAAGTGGAACAAAGCAGAGATTAGCATGGCCCCTGTACAAAGAATATAAGCAGATTTGCGAAGTTTTTATAATAAAAATCACTTCATTGTAATGAATTCACAAACAGAAACACCACCCAGCTCGAGCAAGGCAACTACTCAAACATTTGGCCAGGCTAACCTCTGTACATCTCAGTGACCTTCAATACAGTTAGAATGGACGCTCTGAAGCCCGGGAGGTTCACTTAGGGTTTTACACTTGGATGATCAGCTCAGCTACATTTTACATACTTATCTATCACAAAGAGAGAGAGAGAGAGAGAGAGAGAGAGAGAGAGAGAGAGAGAGAGAGAGAGAGGAAAGCAATAACTTTATATCATCTTTCATGGCTATTTTCCTTCCTTGGTCTCTTTTTTAAATATTATACTATATCCAAACTTACAGGCATCTACACACACACACACACACACACACACGCACACGCACACGCACATTATAAGCTAAGATCCATGTTTGAGAGAGAACATGTGTTTCTTTTTTATTTTTCTTTCTGCGATTGGGTGACCTCACTTACTATATATTCTAGGTCCATTGATTTTTCTGCAAACTGCGTGATTTCATTTTTCTTTAGAGTTGAATAATATTACACACACACAAAAAAAAAAAAAACAGATTTTCATTATCCACTCATCTGTTGAAAGACATCTAGTTTGGTTCCATTTCCTTAGTGTAGTAAACAGAGCAGCAGGCAAGATGGTTATACAAGTGCGTCTGTGGCAAGATACGGGGTTCTCTGAGTGGTATGCCAGGAACAGAACAGCTGGGCCATATGCAGTTCTGTTTTCGTGTTTTGAGGAACCTCCAAATAGATTTCTATAATGACTGTATATTCTGTGCTCTCACCAGCAGTGAATAAGGGTTCCTCTAAGTTTAAACCCTAAGTTTAAAAATGTGTGTGTGTGTGTGTGTTGTTGTTGTTGTTGTTGTTTAGAGACAGGGTCCCACATATTATGAAGTTGACCTCAAAACTGCCTGAGTAGCAGAGAGAGGACAGCCTTGATTGAAGTTCTGATCTTCCTTCCCCTACCTTCCAAATTTGAGGATTATAGGTACACACTGTCCGGCCTGGAAGTATTGCTATTTTTATTTGTTTTGTTTTGAGACAGAGTGTTCCTCTGTAGCTCAGGAACTTACTAAGTAACCTAGTGTCAGATTCACAGCCCCCCTCCTGCCTCAGCCTCCTGAACAGGATGGCAGGTGAGATCCCACACCAGGGGCTTTATTCAGTGATCTTAAAAAGCATATTGTGGTGTGGTTGGTATGATGGTGCACGTCCTTAATCCTAGCACTCAGGAGTCAGAGGCAGGTGGAGCTCCGTCGTTTAGGGGCCA